TGACAGATGAGTCCATTAACCCTCCTTATTGTATAAACATAGACTACACACCAAGAAGTACAAACTTTCAGTGCTAAAATGTACAGTAGCAGTGATATAATATTGATTATTATCCAGAAGTTATTAAAATACTCCCATGAATGCAAAAGTCTTCAATAAAGTGTTGTTAGAAAATTATCTCTCATCCTCGCAAAGGTATTTGACACAAAAAAAAAAAAAAGGCAGACTTCGCCCTATAATCATGATGTCCGCCAGACCTAGTGGAGTGTTTGTGGTTTCTGGTCTTACATGCTTTGATTTAATGCAAATGTCTTTTTATTGTGAAACAATAAAATGTAGAAGTTTTACACCCTCTACACATGAAGCTTTGTGTTTGTGCTTTATTGTAATAGATGTCATTGGCAGAGAGGAGTTGAAGATTAGATGTGGACCCTGTTGAATGTTCATGTGGTTTTTGGCTTTACATATGGTGGCTTTGAGAGGTTCCTTAACATATAACAACTGCTACAAACTTTTTATAATGTGGGGTCTACATGTCGGTAAGCAGCTGTTATTCCTGGTGGTGCAACTCAGAGGGTGCCACAGAAGATTTGCAGCATCACTTATTGTTATGGAATGGACTTTTGATTATAGCACTTCTGGGTGTTTATATAGGATTCACATTACTTTTACTTACTTTATTTAAACTAACAGTGAAACTTTTTTTAAATGTATTTTGCATCTGTATCTTGATGTTTTTTGAGTGCTGCTGTACACAGTATTTGGTGAATTTGTTTTGCACTAAGCTTCGTTTTTTGGATTTAAATGAATGGGTATGGCTCCACCCTGTCTCCCCCTGTACAGCCCTCCCACTGTAGCAAAAAAGATCTGCTCACCCTCACACATGCGGTCTTTTTTGCTAAAAAATGGAATCTCACAGAGTGGGTGTGGTTATAGGAGCATCCCTTAGATGTGGCCCCAGCAATTTGTTTTGCCATCGTCCAATTACCTGATGGTAGCGTGCTTATACCCATGTCCTATGAATACAAGTCCTGTACTGTACACCAACGTAAGGAATTTACAGGTATGTAAAAAAAAAAAAAAAAATCACTCTTTTTCTACTGATCAACAGAAATACTCTCATATAAAGAGTTAATAAACTCAACTTTTTACATTTGCTCTATATTTAAATCTTAAATAAGGTACCATAAAAACCATCTAAAATCAGTAAATCAGTAATTAAGAAAATATAGCACAGCTGTAAATGTGCTGTGACCAGGCTTTCCACCAAAAATAAGGAGGCCTCATTCACACCAGTAAAGTTGGTGTGCGCTGAAGGAATAAATAGGACACGTTGCATTTTTGACAAACTAGCAGCACATAGTAAAAGAAAATAAAAATGCACTACAATATGTGTCAAAAACGCACTGAAATAACACAGTTTACAAAATGCATTCCTTTGCATGTTCTGCCCATGCTAACAGATGTCCTATGGTGTAATCAAGCCATGAACATGCAGTAAGGAGATTAGTAAGGAAGGTTTGGAAAAGATCTATGGTTGAAGGAGTTGCGTGTCTCAATGACTGAGACTGGAGATACTATGCATACAAAACTTGCTTGGGTGCTTCAACAATCAGCTTTATAGGAGAGTGGCTAAGAAAAAGAAATCTTGGCTTTAGTTTGTCAGAAGGCTCTGAAGTCACCTAAAAGAAGGTTCTACAGTTTTATGAGACTAAATTGTTAGGTTTTTGTCTAATGCTAACAAAAGCTATCATCAAAAGCACACCATCCCCACCCAGAAGCTTGGTGGTGGCAGGATCTTGTTATGGTGATATTCTCTGCAGCAAGCCCTGGAAGGCACATAGGCAGAAGATTGAAAAACACATACAAACTTGGAGGAAATTGTGATGCAGTCTGCAAGAAACAGTCTGAGCCCTTGAATGAGATGTGTCATCCAGCAAGACAATGACCCCAAGTATAATACAAAACTACATTGGATATGCTTGAAATATCCCAGTCGGGGTCCATTTCTTAATCCAAAGAAACTACATGGCTGGAAATTCAATCAAGATCCCCATACAATCTGACAGAGCTGAAGCAATTTTGCAGAGCAATGAGGAAAAAATGCAATGTTTAGATGTGTAAAGCTGAGACCTATTCATACTGGCTTGGGCGGTAATTTCTGCCAAAGGCTACATCTACAAAATACTACTTGAAGGGGATGTATATCTATGCAGTCAGTGAATTTGTCCGCTATGATTCAATATTATATGATGGGGTCTCCAAACTTTCTAATCAAAGGGCCGGTTTGCAGTCCTTCAAACTTTAAGGGGGCCGGATTGTGACCAGTGGGAGAAGAAAATGTCCTGGAGTCAATGGGAGTAAACAATACCCCATCATTGGTATTAGGGGAGTAATAGTGCCACATTGTTCGTATCAATGGGAGGAATAGTTCCCCATCATTAGTATCAATGATAGGATTAGTGCCCCATCGTTGGTATCAATGGGGGAATAGTGCCCCATCACTGGTTTCAATAGGATAAATAGTGCCCCATCATTGGTGTCAGTGGGAAGAATAGTGCCCCCCATCGTTGGTGTCAGTGGGAGGAATAGTGCCCCATCGTTGGTATGAATGGGGAAATAGTGCCCCATCATTGTTGTCATTAAGAGGAATAGTGCCCCATTGTCAATGTCAGTGGGAGAAACTATTCCACACTGTTGCTTGCAGTGGGAGGAATAATGCCTTTAGGGCCAGATAAAAGCCAGCAAAGGGCAGCAGTTTGGAGACCACTGTTCTATGACAATAAGTATGAAGGCCTTCTTTGAACTGAATGCTTTTATAGGTGCTGTGTGTCACCTATACTTTAGAGGCTCATGCATTCCCACTGACTGCAATGAAATAGGGTAGATGGCAGTTTAGAGGCTGCATTTTACTGGCTTTGTGTTGCATTGCATTTCTTAACCCCTTGACATCGACGTCACACAAATATGCGGCTTCACGGAACTGGGGTTTTTCCGTGGGGCCGCATGTTTTCGTACCTGTCTTTGTGCTGGGAGCGTTCCAGCATAGAGACCGCAGTGTCACTGAGAGCATCAGGTCCCGTTCTAACGATCGGGACTCGGGATTCCCAATTCTGGGGTCACGTGATCGCTGTGATAGCCTCTGATTGGCTATCACAGTGATCAGTCACTGTGCAGCCCAGCCCCCTTGTTTTTTCTCTCTCTCTATGAATGGAGAAGAGAGATACATTGTATCTAACTCCTGGCATAGAGAGAAAAAAAAATATTTGTAAAAAAAAAAGGAAGATAAATAAATAATAAAAAAAAAAAAAAGAAAGAAAAATACCTAGATCAAGTTTTGATCTAGTTCAGTGCCAGGGTTAGCGTTTGGGTCAAGGTCAGGATTTAAAAAAAAATTGGTGTCAGTTAGTGTTAATGTCAGTATCAGTGTGTTTTAGGTAAAAAAAAAAGACAAAAACAAAATGCGCACTATTGTTTCTGGGCTGTACTAAGGGTACAAACAACAAATAACATACACATATATGGTATCGCTGCGATCGACAAGAGCTGGAGAATTTATTTTGGGTTGTTCTTTGGTGGCAGGTTATGGTCGTAACAAGAAACACACAGCTAAATTAAAAGAAAAAGGTTTTTTATGTTTTTTTTAAATTTTGGGCCAGTTTTCCTTTGATAATAAAAAAAAAATTAGGAGCTATCCATTACCATTTACCACCAAATGAAAGCCCAATTTGTCCTGAAAAAAATCAAGGTATAATCCACCTGGATGTACAAAGTAGTTGTGATGATATGTACGGTTTTACTATCACATGTTAACGTTGCAGAATTGTGCTTAGGCATTTAGATTTGTTTTACCCTTAGGCGTGAAGGGGTTAAGCTACTTTCACACCGATCCACCGCAAAAACACACAGGTGTTTTTGCTTCGCTTTCTGAGCGGTTTTAAAGGACACGTGACTTTAAAAACTGCACCAAAAATGCTTCTCAGAGGCGTTTCTGAGGCGCTTTTCAGGCGGTTTCCATTTCTTTCAATGGGAATTTTTGGGCATTTTTTAACTCACCAAACATGCCCCAAAGATGCTGCAAGCAGGAGTTTTTATACCACATCGCAAGCGCAATGCCTCAGTGTGAAAAAACATACATAGATATACATTCACATACACAGGGAATCATTTTTCTTGAGCTTTTCAGGTGCTTTTTTTAACACAAAAACACTTAAAAAACTCCTCAGTGTGAAAGTAGCCTAAGGGCTCTTTCACACCAATGTTCCGATCGGGTCCGCCTGCCTGTTTTTCATTCAGACCCGATTGGAACCTCCATTCTCCTCTATGGAGCGGCTGGGGAATAGGAATCCAATTCCCCTTCCTCCGTCGGATCAGATGAAAACCAACAGGCAGTTCGTTTTCCTCTGACCCTCCATTGAGGAGAGCGAGCAGCTCTGTGTCTTCTCTGCAGCAGCAAAGGGGACACAGAGCTCTCACCCGCTTGCTCAGCGGGGATCAGCGGAGAGATCACCCGTTGAGCAAACGGATCCGCTAAACGGGTACATCCCGTGTGAAAGAGCCCTTAAGATGCAGCACGGCCTGTTGAAGTGCATTTGAACTGCAGGCAAAGAAATACTGCAACAAGTGATGCGTTTTACATTTGTCTGCATGTATTTGAGCAGTGCTGCATTCCAACAGAAAGGCTGCATTTGACAAAAATGCCCACCTTTATGAACTTTTGGCTCACTGGATTTTTCCAGTCTGTTGCAGCTACATTAATGTGCATTCCATCAAGGTAGCGCATTCATTTGAATGGACTCCCAAAGCAACAAAGCTAACCAAAATTGGACATGCATCATTTGTTTTGACAACAACAACATACAAAAACACATGGTAGTGTGTTACCGTGTATTGTGTGCTTCCAAGCATGTGCATGCTACATTGTCGTGTGGTATTGCAACACACTGCAATGGACAGATCTGAATGGAGAGGAACATTTGACAAAAGGAACAGTGTAAAACTCAGTGTATTTCAAATACCTGAACTACCAAGTATACATAAATACCTGTCTCAGGCGCTGGGTGTCCACTTCCCTGTGGGATGTCTTTTGAAATAAACAAATTTGATTCCTCTATATCCTTGTCAGTGTTTGATGAAACAGTGCCTGTAAAAAGGACTTCTGTTTAGCATGTTAGAAAAAATTAATATACTCCTCATCAAAATATGAGCGCTAAACAAAATACCATAATAAATATCAAGTCACATTGCTTCTGACGATATCAGAGCTTTTACAGGACGATATTACTTTCTACAGAAATACAGTATGACTTCTTGCTGCCTTTGTCCAATTTGAGAGAATTACCTCCAGTTCTGTCCCACAGACAAAACAAGAAGTAACAAAATCTTTCCAAGTAAGGGAATCCCATCCTAGATAGGACACATAGAGAATGTGAATGCCTCCAATGGGGTTGAACATTAATAAAGCCCCGACAGAAGCCCTTTCCTTCCCATCCGAAACCAAAAACAAAAGAAGAAAAAAAAGTTTTGGCTAAACATACACTTTAAAGCGGACCTTTGCCCCCTTCCACTACTTCCCTCCATTCAACAGGTATCACACTTTTTTTTTTCCTTTATTTTTTTTTTTAGTAAAACAAGTCCGGCCCCACCTCTCCCAGGTTGTGCACACTGCCCGATGTGCCTCCTGAGATATGGATGAGACATATCCCAGGAGGCATAGCCTTCCATAGAGGAAAAGAGGAGGGGGCAGGCCTATTGGTGCGTCATCAGGAGGCCTGCCCACTGAACCAGGAAGAGCTGGCAGGCCTATCGATGATGTCAGAATGACAGGGCTGTGGCCAGGCATGAGAGGACCTCAGTGGGACAACGCTGGATGGATGAGTATCTGACATCTGCAGATACCACCTTAAGGTGAGTGGGGCTGAAAAAAAAAAAACCAGGGGGTGGGTCGGGTGCATATCCACTTTAATGAAAAATACACTCAGCAAGGCTTAACCTCTTCACACTGGCCTAACGCAAATGTGCGGCCTCCCAGCGTCTGGGCCTAGACGCCGAGCAGCCGCACATTTGCATTCTATTAAAAAAAGACATATGTGCTGAGAGCGCGCGCCCTGCGCGCTCCCAGCACACATGTTCGGTACTCACGGAAAGGTCCCGATCTCCTCTTTCGATCGGGACCTTTCCCAATCATGTGACTGCCGTGATGGCGTGTCACGGCAGTCACATGACCCTAAACCCCGCCCTGCCTCCCAGCTTCTGAAACCCTTAAAGGGCCGGGAGGCACCGGCGCGAAGGGGTTAAAGTGTTACTAAACCCAGGACCCTGTATTCACTATATCTGGTCTCCCACAGTATACAGAACATGGAAATGCAATTATTTTAGTAAATATAAACTGCTAAATACCTTTTCTCAGCAGTTACAGCAGTCTTGTGACTTCTATCAGTGCCCTGCAGAGAACTGGTTAAAGCTTGTAGGAGGAGTTTTCATTCTCCCCCGATTGTCCTATGAGGCTGCATACCCCCTGACCCTCTGTCTGGACAGCACTGATTGGACCTGCGCTGATCACATGCACTCCCCCCCAAAAAAAAAAACCCTCTAGCAATACACACCAAACTGAGCATGTGCAGCTTGCCCCCAAGGTTCTGTTCTATCAGCAGATATATTGGGGACAGTAGAAGAAGGGGAGGATCAGAGAAGACAGGATCAAAAAGCCTTTTTACACAATGCGGAGGATTAACCCCTTAGGTTCCACAGTGAGTGTAACAAGCATGCTGTACAGCATATACAGACTGATTTTACTGTTGTGGGTTTAGTAACGCTTTAATATGACCAAGCAATGCTCACAGTTTTTAGCATCTTTTGCAATTAAGGGCAGTATCAGGTGTACTTAAGGCCATAAAAGTACTGCAGAAAACACACAACAAAGTAAAAAAAAAAAACAAATCTCCCTGCAAGTGTGTATAGGAAAGGATTAAAAAAGCTTTGTGTGTGCTTTTATCACCCTTGGTGTGCATTGCAGCACTTATTGCAACCTATGCAATGACAGGCAGATGATCTCCACACCCATCAACCTCAAGGAGATATCTGGCCCTCTATGTCCAAGCCTTAGAAATACAGTGAGTCTGTTTTCAGTCAGATCAGACCTGACCCAAAGGCTTGTACTGAGAGTGAAGAGAGTGAGGGGTAGGGCTTACATAGAAGTGTATATATATATATGCAGCACAGTGGGGCTAAATGGTTAGCATTTCCTCCTGGCAGTACTAGGGCCGTTGGTTCAAATCCCAACCACAGCACCACCTGCCTGGAGTTTGCATGTTCTTTCTGTGCCTGTGTAGGTTTCCTCCATTTACTCCAGTTTCCTCCCACACTCCAAAAAACATGCTGGTAGGTTAATTGGCTTCTGTCTAAATTGGCCCTAGTATGTGTATGTATGAATGTGAGTTAGGGACCTTAGATTTTACACCCCTTGAGGGTTAGGCACTGATGTGAATGTACAATATATATGTAAAGCGCTGCATAGAATTAACAACGCTATATAAGTACCTGTAACAAATGATATATACTGCAGCTTACCAATCATAGTTGTAGTGGCCAGATTAGATTTCTTTTTTAAAGCTGTCAGTCTGGGGGAAGGGAGTGTTAGAAGTACTAGCAGATTTAAATACACTAACAAATTGAAGCTGAACTCCAGATAACACTTAATCAGTTACAGGAAACAGTTTTTTTTCCTTTTTGGGCTACAGGCTTGACATGAATAAATACAAGCTGGTTATTTTAAGCACACCTGTCAATGTTAAATGGTCTGTCTTATTTCTGCTACTGCAATAGGGCTTTTCTGTTGAAAAACAACAGATTTACTGGTTGGATCACCAGATGGAAATAGAAGATATAGAAAACCTAAAAGGAAACTAATACAGCCATCACATCTAAGATTTGGTAAGTTGCAATATAATAATTGTTTGCTTTTGGGTTTAATACTGCTTTAAAATGGCATAAAAGGTCTAAAAGCAAAGAAAAATAGAAATATTTACCCCCTCCTACTGCCTACGCTACTAAACGGCACTATGATTTAAAAACAATCATCACCACAGTCTCTTCTGACACTTGCAGGACCTGTCAATCTCCTGTCGGACAGTCTTCAGGTTCCTCACACCAACTCCTACATCACTACTGTCTCCTGTACCAGTCTAGAGGTAAGTGAGAGGAACCAATGAGTGCTGCAGGGGGACACCAAAAATTGATGATCCTGGAAATGATGGTTTCTGAATTCAAGGGGCAAATTCTCTTTATCAGAGCTAGCAGCAGGAGAGGTATTTCCTTTTCTATTTGCAGAGAGACCTATCATTTCAGCTTTGAGTTTAGCAACACATAAAGTACTCCTTTTTCTAGGATAAAGTAAATCAGAAGCACCCTGGAAAAAAAAGTTTAATACTTTTCTTACATGAGGCAAAGACTTTGCTCTTTAGTGGCTCTGGGTGCCACTACTTTATGACATTTCAAGGTGTGTTGGATAGCATGTCCTCCACTGCAGACTGTGGTTCCTCCCAACCATGTCACTAAGGGAGCAAATACTGGAGAAGTAATAGAACGGCTTTACACATCCCTGGTGCACTTTTGCTAAAGCGCACAAAACCACAGGTTAGCTGCGCTTTCCCATAGGCTTCTATGATGGCCTGCAGTTTTGGTACGGTTTCCGAAAGTGCACCAAAACTCCAGCATGCTGCATCTTTGGTGCACTTACTGAAACCGCCGCACCAAAACCGCAGGCCCTCATAGAAGTCTATGGGAAAGCGCAGTTAAACTGCACAAAAACTGCGGGATAGCTTGGCTTTGCCCAAAGCACAAGGCGCAGCACCGGGGCAGTATGAAGCCACCCTTACCCACTTGCCTTCCAGAGGATTTACCCCCCCCCCCCCCCACCCCCTCCTGACCAGGCCATTTTTTTGCATTACGGCGCTGCATGAATTTAACTGACAACTGCGTGGTCATGCAACGCTGCACCCAAATGAAATTTACGGCCTTTTTTTCCCATGAATAGAGCTTTCTTTTGGTGGAGTTTGATTGCCTATGCATTTTTAATTTTTGCGCTATAAAAAAAAACCGACCGACAATTTTGAGAAAAAAAAACCCAATATTTTTGACATTTTGCTATTAACCACTTATATAATATAATATATATACTGCTATATGGCGTCACGGGTGCGCAGAATCACATATATATACGTGATTCGCATTCCCACGGTTATCATGGGCCCCCAAAATTACCCCTTTTTGGAAAGGCATGTTGAGTCAAGAGAAGAATTTGTTTTTTTACCACAAGTTTTTGGAAAATGAAAAAAAAAAAAACTTAAATGATTTAATGCTCACACATGCCATGGGTATATATGGAATTACTCCCCAAAATACATTCTGCTACTTCTCCCGAGTATGGAGATACCACATGCGAGAGATATTTTGGCAGTCTAGCCAAGTACAGGACCCCAAAATCCAATAAGCTCCTTCAGGCTTTTAAAGGGCTTTATTTCCTAATTACACTTCCTCACTACCTATCACAGTTTTGGAGGCCCTGAAATGCCAAGATAGCACCAAACTCCCCCCAATGACCCTATTTTGGAAAGTAGACACCCCAAAGAAGCAAAGAAGCATGGTGACTATTTTGCAGATCTCGTTTGTTGCCACAAGTTTTTGGAAAATGAAGAAAGAAAACAAAAACATATTTTTTTCTTTTCTTATATTTCAAAAACCTTGTAGGAAAAAATGAGATCTTCAAAATACTCACCATGCCTCTTTATAAATTCCTTGGGGTGTCTGCTTTCCAAAAAGGGGTCATTGGGGAGGGGGGTTGGTGCTATCCTGGCATTACAGGGCCTCCGAAACTGTGATAGGTAGTGAGGAAGTGAAATGAGGAATTTACGCACCTTCGGGCTTTCAAAGTGGTCATTGGATTTCAGGCTCCTATATGTGGCTAGGCTCACAAAAAATCTCACACATGTGGTATCCCCATACTCAGTAGAAGTAGCAGAATGTATTTTGGGGTGTAATTCCACATATACCTATGGCTTGTGTGAACAATATATCATTTAAGTGACAACTTTGTGTAAAAAAAATAAAAAAAAAATAAAAACATGTTTTTGTCATTTTCCAAAAACTTGTGGAAAAAAAAATAAATCTTCCATGGACTCAATTTGCCTCTCAGCAGATAGCTTAGGGTGTCTACTTTCTGAAAAGGGGTCATTTAGGGGTGTTTGTACTGTCCTGGTATTTTAGCACCTCAAGAAATGTGATAGGCAGTCAGAAAGTAAAAGTTGTGTAAATTCTGTTATCTATACCATAGTCTGTAGATGCTATAACTTTCACACAAAGCAATCAATATACACTTATTGGAATTTCTTTTCCAAAGACATGTAACAGAATACATTTTGGCCTAAATTTTTTACTAACTTTGAGTTTACTATATATTTTTTTATAGCCGAACGTAAAAAATATAGTTTTTTTCAAACTTTTTGGACTTTTTTTTGTTTATAGCACAAAAAATAAAAAGCACACAGGTGATCATATACCACCGAAAGAAAGCTCTATTTGTGTGAAAGAAAGGACATAAATTTTGTGGACCTGGTGATTGACAGTGAGAATGGCGGCGTGGGTAGGGCACGTGTGCACCCCCTATCCAGAAATGCTAAATCACGTATATATATATATATATATATATATATATATATATATATATATATATACACACACACACACGTGATTTTGCGCACAGCTGCCGCCTTGTAACAGTATTTCTGCTATGGGGCAGAGCTAAAGCAGTTAAACAGCTTCTGTTTTAGTTTGTTAATCTTAGCAACAGAATCACTTTACCCACTTGCCCTCTGGAAGATTTTACCTCCATCATGGCAATGCCATTTATTGTTATTTGGCACTGTGTTACTTTAACTGACAAATGTGCGATCAACACTGTACCCAAATGAAATTTAAATAATGTTTTCACACAAATAGAGCTTTTTTGTGGTATTTGATCACCACTGGGTTTTTTTATTATATAAAATTTAAAAAAAATGAAAATGAAAAAAAAAAACAAAAAAAACAACTATTTTTTACTTTTTGTTATAAAACATATCCAATAACAAAAATTTTTTAAAAATCTAATTTCTTCATAAACTTAGGCCAAAATGCATTCTTCTATATATTTTTAGTAAATATAAGTGTATATTGATTAGTATATTCACTACTGATTAGTTTCACAAAAATTATAGTGTCTACAAACTATGGTATATAAACTAGATTTTTTTTTATACTAGTAATTGGGGTGATCAGCAACTAACAGCAGGACTGTGATAGTATGACGGGCAATCTGACACTTTTGACACTTTGTGGGAACCAGTGACACTAATACAGTGCTAATGTTATACAATGACACTGTATTAATGACACTGGCTGGGAAAGGTTTAACATCTAGGGGCAATCAAAGGGTAACCCTGTGTCTAACAGTGCTTTGTGCTGTCACTGTGTGATGTTTTTACTAAGGGATGTGTCGGTTTTCATTTCTTGCTTTGCAGGGAAACAAAAACCAGCAAATCCTCGATGACATTCACAGAGCTCTGTACTGTCTTCCTATTTGTTGATCAGCGGGTCCCAGCAGTCAATCAAGGTGCGCTCTTCCTCTACCCAGAAGAGCCGGATCATGTACTAGATATGTGATCTGGTGCAGGAGAGCAGCTCTGCTGGTTAAAGTGTATGCTCACTAAAACTTTTTTTTCTTAGTTTTGAGTAGAGTGGAGAAGGTTTAGAACCAGTGTTTGTTTTTTACTGCAATCCAGAGCTCCATTCATTTTAACCTCGCTTCCTGTCATGCTGACAACATTTTACCAGAAAGGAAATGAGGGGAACACCCCAACTGCAACAGAGGCAGAAAAAATACTATTCTTAGCAGAGTAGGTGAAAGATAGAACCCCTGTCAGATTTTAATTACTGTCCCTGTTGCAGATTTTCCCTCACTTCCTGCCTGGGGAAAACCATTGTCAGAAGAAAGTGAGGGAAACCTCTCTAAAGGAGTCCTGGTTAGCAGTAACATTTGACAGGGGATCTAATTATTCCCACTCCATCCAAAACTGGGCAAAAAAAACGTTTTTGATCTGACACATAGTTTAAGCACAAGTTAGAATTTTAGAAACCTTACATATCTTCATAATTCAAATATTTCTAATTACTCCAATCTTTAATGACTCTTTAATTCTGTTTTGCAGTCTTACCAATTGCAATGTATATTAGCACACTCATGATGATAAGGTGTCACCTGGGTAGGAAGACACAGACAATACTAAAACGACAGAGGTTCTAATCCTTTTTTTTTTTTAAAGGAGTGTTTTTGTTTATCTATCTTTCCCCACTGGTCAGATTTCTTATCACTCCCAATTTTTGTGAAACCCTGGCACAGGGATAGGAAATTAGAAGGAATATTTCCAATAGAAACAGAGGAACAAAAACCTGGCAGAGGGTCTAACTCTAACCCTCTATTTAAACTAATAAAATGTTGTGGTTGGAGTTGAGTTTAAAGCCCTAATTAAAATAAAAAGTCACCTGGAACCACTTTACGATGTCCTCTAGGATCTGCTGTTGTGGGACGTACCATTGTTCCTGTATTAAAACATGAAAAAATATCATAGAATACATATGTTTAGTGTAATGTATATTATAGTGTTTAACCACTTTATTTGGGCATGCCGTAGGCAGGTCTAAGTGCGGCTAGGTGCTGAATGATAATCTACAGGCTTGTGAATCAGAAGTGACAATGCTGACGAGTGATGAGCTTAACTGCCCTGGATTCGAGTCGAGCAGGGCTTGCCAAACCTCAAAGAAGTTTGGATGCTAATGCAGGCCATAGATGGGTCAAAATCGGCCGATTTTTCGGCTGAAAGAAAAAATCGTCCGATTTTCGCACCGTTAGTGGGTTTATTGGTCAGCCGTTTTTCAGGGTTTTGGCACATTTTTTTTTATTTGTAAAGTTGGAAACAAATCGGCCGATTTTGCCGATCGGCTGATTTTCCCGGCAATGATGGGCAAACTTTTTTTTCGTTTTACCGATAAAAATCTGCGCATGAGCCATGACCTGAAAGAAAAAGAAAAAGAAGAAGAATTCCAGTCCGCTATTATATTTGACATGAAAAAGTATTGCGGTTGTAACAATGTATCTATTTGTATCCGAATAAAACCATCTGTATCCGAAATGCATACAAATGGATACATTGTTGCAACCGCAATACTTTTTCATGTCAACTATAATAGCGGGGCTCTCTGCAGGGACAGAAGTAATTAAATGCCGGCCGTAGACAGGACGAAAATCGGCCGATTCTTTTTTACCATTGGTAGTAACGTCGGCCTATTGAACGACCGATTTTTCATTTTTGTTTTTTTAAACGGCCAGTTTTCGACCCATCCATGGCCAGCATAATCCCAAAATCAACTGAAATCAGTGGCAGTTGAATATGTTAAACTAAAAATGACCATTTTAATTTTCTGGACTAACACCCCGGTCACATCAAAGCCAATTTTGAAATCGTGCGACTTACAGTGAAGTTGCATGATTTCAAAATAAGGTGACCTGCCGATTTCATTGCGATTTGCAAGACATCTGACACAAAAGTCTATGCAAATCATAACAAAAGTAGTGCATGCACTACTTTAGAAATCGGTGCGGCTCCAACCAAGTCGGAACAGCACCGATATGACTGCTCTAATAGCGGACAATAGGGTGCGACTTTACATACAATTTGCAAGTCGCCTGGCATGCAAATAGCATGCCAAATTGCAGCCAATGTGACCGGGGGCTAATAGGCAAGAGGTGTCAAAAAAATTGCAAGGGGGGTTAATTCGATTCAGCCCGAAGCATGTGAATTTTTAAAGCACTGATATTTACAAAGCAAAAAAAAAGTTTTAAATTGGAAGCAAGTGATATCTCCCTTCTGGCACACAAACCTCAAAGGTTCCCCAAAACACAGAGCAGACCCAAGGGGTCTGTTTCTGTACTTTATTTTTCTGTTAAAGAAGTTGTGATGAAGTTTCATTTGCCGGCAATTTTAACTGTATAATGTTTTTTTCTTTGTAAATGTCACTTCCTACAGCAAGAATGACAAAGCAAATTGAGTTGAGTCAAAATTTTTGACTTATAGCAGAAATGTAAAATTTGCTCTAGTCCATAAGAGGTATACAGGTGTAAAAGCTGAAGTGGTTAACTATTTGGGGAAACATTTGTTGTCCAATAGGCCTCATGCATGTTTGCTGAAAAACCCTCCAGGCATTTACCTGTGCATATTTCCTCAAACATGATAGTGTAAAGAAGTACGCTGCATGCACGTGTGTGGGTAGATCCTGATGCACAAACTACTGGCATTTACACAAGTACAGGGTGTATAGTCATTCACTTGTATTGGCGGCTGTACAGGAACCTGTGGCTCCATAGATGCTGGAAAGTGGTGTGGATTTTGCACTGGAGGAGTTTTCAGCTAATAAATATCTGTGTGCATGAGGCCATAATTTGCAACAGCACATTCTGGCTGCCCCCAAACCTAAAATTTCATTTGTGCGTTTCTGAAAAAATGTATGCTTTTAAAATGACAAATCCATTTAAATGATTTTTCTCAACCATCAGCTGGATTAACAAACCAATTATGCACTTTATCTATCACCACTTTATTAATACACTTATTTATTAACTTGCAACAAGCCATTGAATATGATAACTAATGACAACTAGTCCTAAGCAATTTTTATTATTTTTAATAAAAATTATTTTTAAAATTAGGCTGTTGAAAGCTTGTGTCTGCAAGGCTGCCATGAGTTTCTGTATACTGATGGAAGCTGGGGGAGAAACAAACTTTTTTTTCCCTTTTGTACTTTGTGGTTAGCTGTAACGCAGATGCACTGGAGTGTAATTTACATTAAAGGCACCACAACATACTGCACCACCATTTGTCCACAATGCGTGTTTGTAAAACTGGCCTAAACAACTTTCTGTATTAGGGCTTTTTCAGGTTAGTGAGTTGCACTAGCGTGTGTTAAAATGTAATGCATTACAGTCACATTCATTTTGAATGGCACCACAATTTGCATACACAACACACCTGCATCTTTTTGTACACCTCAGTACACAGATATGAACCATCTGTGCATTGGGATTTGCTGACTTTAGAAAACTGTACTTCTGGGATTTTTCTGTGTATTCAGGTGCTATCTACAGTACGTTTCAGTATAGATGCCACCAGGGGCAGACTGACAACTCATGGGGCCCCCGGGCAATAGGGGATTATGGGGCCCCTGTGTTCTTGCCCAAACTCAAAAAAAGCCTATGAAAAAGGTACCAGGGGCATCTCATTGGGCCCCCTACTGACCCCGGGCCCTCGGGCAGTGCCCAAGTTTCCAACTGGTCAGTCCGCCCCTGGATGCCACTGTGCTGCCCTTTGGACATGTAAGGAGCACATTGGGATAATCACAGTTTTTCAATTATACAGAAATCCAAAAGTTGAAAATGGCTAAAAAAAGTGGCAACAGTATATTTTGACTCTTGGAAGAATAAGGGTTGCCATTTACAACATATAATGGAAATGGGAGACTCTATATTTAGTACAGAAGATAAGGATGTTAATATTTTTACCAGAGATATTCTGTTACATCAGTACGCCCTCTGCTTTTTTGTGACAAGGTGACATCAAGAGGACTTTGCTTAACTACAACACATAGGGCTACTGACACAATCAATTGACTCCCTCCCCAGAAAAGCCCCACATAGTGGAGTATCAATAACCAGCTAGATCTTTGTTTTTCATGCCTCTTGGATTTTACATTCCCTCTCCATAAATAACCCCTTCATAACTTTTCTTACATCTTTGCATGTTGCAGTGACAAGAAAGGTCCGTATAGCTTTTAAAGTGGCACTTGCAAAGAAGCATCCAACGTGTGTGGAGCTCTGAATGATGTAACCTTTTGAATAGAGTTACTATATATACAATATTGTGGCAGCTGCTGTTGTCGTTTAGCAACAAAATCCCCATATAATGCTACAAAGTATGTGTTAGTAGATAGACTACTGTGCTCACCCAGAGTCTAGAGTAGCTATGCTGATAGTTTATACTCTACATAAACATTTATCCTTAATGACACTGTATGACTTATTGTTGTCCTACTTGTCAGTTTGCCAGATAAATACATTTGCTGAATCCCCATCGGGAGTTTCTTCTTCTGCTGGTAATTTGGCTGACAACAGTAGGGAAGATTCACTAAAACTGGTGCACACAGAATCTGTTGCAGATGTGCATAGTAACCAATCATCTTCCAGGTTTTACTGTCAAGGCTTCAATGAACAATTTGAGGTTAGAAGCCGATTGACTATTATGCACAGCTGCACTGGTTTTATTAAATCAAACCTAATGTTTAATATTTCAATGGTTAATACTGACAATTCTTCTAAATGTCAATAGCAACTTCTTTAACATCTACTAAGTACCACCTATTGAGTGCTGAAGATGTCACCTGTAAAAGAAGCCTGGATTGTAAAAGAAAAGCATGTATACCTACTTTCCAAGTGGCCCATGTCTTCAAATGCCACTGCTTTGCTGGCCCCTTTGCAATGTATTCCACATTTCAGAATGAATACCTACTCCTTCCGCTCATGCCGTGATTTTTCTTACCAACTCATAGAATACTACAGGACTTACAAGGCAGCAGGAGAAAACACAACATTAGGCAGGTGGAACAGGTATTCAACACTCCTGAAATTGTAAGAAAGTTGAATAACTGCTTTATTTAGTTAGCGCATAACATGTATCCTTTAAGAGATTAAATAATAGGTTTATTTGTGCTCTATTCAAACATACACTATATTGCCAAAGTATTTGTACACCCCTCCAAATTATTGGATTCAAGCGTTCCAATCACCTGCATGGCCACAGGTGTATAAAATCAAGGCATGCACACTGCTTCTACAAACCTTTATGAAAGAATGGATCGCCCTCAGGAGCTCAGTGAATTCAAGCGTGGTATCGTTATAGGTTGCTACCTGTGCAATAAGTCCATCCGTGAAATGTCCTTCCTACTAAATATTCCATGGTCAACTGTTAGTGGTATTATAACAAATTGGAAGCAACTGGGAACAACAGCAACTCTGCCATGAAGTGGTAGGCCACGTAAAATGACAGAGCGGGGTCAGCGCATGCTGAAGTGCACAGTGCACAGAAGTAGCCAACTACTTACAGAGTCAATAGCTAAAGATCTCCAAACGTTTCATGGCCTTCAGATTAGCACAACAACAATGCATACAGAGCTTCATGAAATGGGTTTTCATGGCCAAGCAGCTGCATCCAAGCCTTACAAGACCAAGTGCAATGCAAAGCGTCGGATGTAGTGGTGTAAAGCACGCCACCACTGAACTCTAGAGCAGTGGGGACATGTTCTCTGGAGTAACAAATCATGCTTCTCTGTCTGGCAATCCGATGGACGTGTCTGGGTTCGGTGGTTGCCAGGAGAAAAGTACTTGCCTGACTGCATTGTGCCATGTGTAAAGTTTGCTGGAGGGGGATTATGGTGTGGGGTTGTTTTCAGGGGATGGACTTGGCCCCTTAGTTCCTGTGACGAGAACTCTTAAGGCATCAGCATACCAAGACATTTTGGACAATTTCATGCTCCCAACTTTGTGGGAACAGTTTGGAGATGGCCCCTTCCTGTTCTAACATGACTGCACACCAGTGCACAAAGCAAGGCTCATAAACACATGGATGAGCGAGTTTGTGGTGAAGGAACTTGACTGACCTGCACAAAGCCCTGACCCCAACCCGACAGAACTCCTTTAGGATGAATTAGAGCAGAGACTGCGAGCCAGGCCTTCTTGTCCGACATCAGTGCCTGACCTCGCCACAAATGCACTTCTGAAAGAATGGCCAAACATTCCCATAGACACACTCCTAAACCTTGTGGACAGCCTTCCCAGAAGAGTTGAAGCTGTTATAGCTGCAAAGAGTGAGCCAACTCAATATTGAACCCTACGGACAAAGACTAGGATGCCATTAAAGTTCATGTGCGTGTAAAGGCAGGCATCCCAACACTTTTGGCAATCTAGTGTATTAGGAGGCAACAAATGGTATACATGTGTCACGCTTCATTTATTGTAACACAATGCAAATAGTGGAAAGGCTGCCTATCTTTTTTTTCCTCTCTCTGTAAATACTGGTGCTTTAAACTTTGCAATAGTTATGGATGTTAAGGGTGTTCTAATTTATCCATCATCACTTCTCATCTCTGATTCATCTTCCACACCCTGAGCCATCCTTAATGGACCACTGGGAGGCAACATGAATGGAACTCCCACACATGTGCAATACAGTTGTATTACTACAGCACTTGGATCAACTGTTTGGCAGCTGATAGAAAACAAGGAAAGTACTCATTTGGGGCACTGCTCTGTACAATCTCCTTCCAAGTTCCCAGCAAAGCAATAATATATGATATTGCTAAGGAATAGGATCCCCAATCAAGTTTATTATCCCTGCTCAGCACTTTAGCTCTCAAAGGGTAGGAGCTGGCATGCCAACCCCTTTCTTATGGCCTTTCTTAAACAGACTACTTCCTCTACTATCCCATAAAGCTCACTATGACATATTATGTGATCTTTCCTGGAGTATTTAAAGTGTTAAATCAGCAATATCTCAGTATCTGATGAGTTTTTAATATGTATAGTATATCTAAACCCAAGAATGATCATGTAATATATTGCAGCTTATCAGTCCTTGGATGTGATGGCCATGTTATTCTTTTTACAAGTTTGTTCCCCTTTATTTATGATATTGATCCTGCCAGTAACACTCTTCCTATCCTAGATAGTAACACATGCATTGTATTGTATCTATGGAGAAGCAGTATTGTCACCCTAGGCTGTTCTCCTAATTTGGTCTACAAACACTTTTCTCCTCCTGTCCTCATCACCATTACCAACTCCAGAGGGAGGTGTTGACAGAAGAGAACTAGGTAGAGCTAAAAACATTACAACACAAATAAAAACCTCAAAAAGGTATGAGTGTATAGAGACAGTCCTAGGTTGTATTTCTCTTCCGATCTGACTGAACAAGAAGAAACCAACCATCAGGAAGCCTGCAATGCATAGGCCTTGCTGCCCACTTTAAACAGGTGAGATCCTTAGACCAAAGGCTGAAAGACAAAAAAGAGGGCGCATCAGCCTTGTGCATTACCACAAGACCATTTTATTTCAAATGTGAAAACTCCAATATACTTACAAACGCCAATGACTGCAGCCATATCATTGCAGTCATTGACTTTTGTGAGTCTATTGGAGAAGTTTTTACATTTGAAATAAAATGCTTTTATTGCAATGCACGCGGTTTGTGCGCCCTCTCTTCTGTCTTTGTTTCAACACATAAAAAAACATTGCTTGAAAATGCATTTTACCGAATAAAAAGGAAAAAGTAAACAAATGCAGTCACCACATCTAAGGCCTTGAATGCTACAATATTGTACAATTTTGTTCTTGGGTTTAGATATACATATTATATTTTTTTAAAAATTCTGTGCTGCACTCAATTTAAATAAACATTATAAACAAAACATTGAAAATGTAAGTCGCAAAAAAAAGTGAAATAAGGAGATTGCAGGTGAGTCTTCCTGGTGCGTATTTTAAATTACAGGGAATCATTAACCCCTTCCCGTCGCCACCTCCTGACCCTTTAGCTGGATCAAAATGTCAGGAGGCGTGATTGGAGGTGGGCAAATATCCCAGATCATGTGATATACCAGTGCTGTGATTTTGGCTGTCACAGCAGTCACATGAAGGGAAAGATCCCAATCGCAAGCATGCATCGGAAGCTTTCTGGTACATGTTAGTTGCTGTGCTAGGAGCGTGCAGTGAGCGCACTATCAGCACAGTAAACTGTTTACCAATAGACACATATATGCAGCCGCTCAGTGCTAAAGCCCACCTGCTGAGAGGCCACATATATGCGCTACGTTGGTGGGAAGACGCAACTATCAATGAATGTTTGATGAATGTAACATTCACTGATTAATAAATAAGTATATCAACTGTGCATAACTCACTTTTTATAAGGTTTCTAGAAGTCATACATGTATATATCATACACTCGTCAGCCACTTTATTAGGTACACTTTGCTAGTACCAGGTAGGAGCCCCTTTTGTCTTCAGAACTACCTTAATTCAACAAGGTGTTGGAAACATTCCTCAGAGATTTTGGTCAATATGGACATGATAGCTTCACGCAGTTGCTGCAGATTTGTCGGCTGCACATCCATGATGCGATTCTTCCATTGCAGCACATCCCAAAGGTGCTCTATTGGATTGAGAGCTGGTAACTTTGCAGGCCACTGGAGTACAGTGAACTCATTGTCATGTTAAAGAAACCAGTTTGAGATAATTTGAGCTTTGTGACATGGTGCATTATCCTGCTGGAAGTAGCCATCAGAAGATGGGTACACTGGCACCCAGTGTGGTCTTCTGCTGCTCTAGCCCATCTGCTTCAAGGTTCCCAATGTGGCATCCATGTGGGTGTACGGCCTCGAACACACCCATGGTGAGTTTACAGATGTCATATTGGAAGCTGTTGCTATGTCCTAATAGACATGAATGGGATTGCCTGCATGGGGATACATGGAACACCTGTGCATCATCTTGCGGTAAACATGGCCCTACATAGGGCACTGACCAAATCCCCCCATGTGAATGAGGCTTAAAAGTTGTTGAACAGAGATTGAAAAATTAGGCTGTATAGTGTATGGCTAGCCTAAGTGTGAGTGCAGTTTACAGCAACCAAGAGATGCTACACCCACCTGTGCTGAGCATACGATTGTAAGGAGATTCCTGATGGAGTGACTGATTCTTTTCCTTATCCATGGATACAAAAATCTTTCCAGTGAGCCTTGATTTTTCTAGTGCTGGATTGTTTTCTGTTTCAGTCATTTTTCCAGTATTTGAATGGCTTTCTGTTTTTTCAGTGATGTGAATCACAGTTTTTCGACCAGAGCTAACTAAAAAAAAAAAAGATATAAATCACATCAATTAGCTGTAGCATGTAGTGTACATTAATCAAGAAAAAATCTCAAATTACATTAAATACAATTATTTCATATCAACTTTGATGGCTCATACATTTTAAATAGTGTTTCATCTTGGTTCCTGTCTCACATTCTTATCCCCACATTACATGGAATTTAAATCAATAACTGCAGTCATTGCTGCGGGAAATAAAAACCAGCAACCAATGAAGTGTAGAAAAAACAGAGAAAAACAACAGGATGTGTTTTTCTCTGTTGCCTTGTCTTCACTAAAATCATCTATAAATCAATTAAACCAGTAACTTGTGTATTATTTATTAATGCAGTACAAATATGATTGGTGTTTCCTGTTACATCATGATATCACTGGAGCTGGCTGATCCACAACATCCTATGTTTATGAGTATTGACAGGTGTTCATTGTTTGTTATAATTCTTGCACCTTGCTTTTTGCCTAAGTCCATACTGCTACAGTAAAGTCTGCAAGCATCTCTTGTAAAGAGTCATAACTTTCCCCCTTCCGTTTTAAACTATTCCATGAACAGAATCCTTTTTTTTTTTTTTCACATAACTACATTGTGATTTGCTATTACTCACAGTTCTGGCAAAAAGCTTCATCAGAGCCATCCGGACATTGCACCACTCTGTCGCATGCTAAAGTAATATCTATACAACACCCATCGTCACAGATAAACTGGTAGCGGCTGCAGGCTCCACTGCAGGTTGTGGAAGCTGTGGCACAAAAAAGGGAAAAGAAATATGGATTAGTAGCTTGCATTATTAATGAAGAAAAGGTTATTTTGTTCAGAATACAAGTCACGTATAGGGTAATTTCACCCAAAGGTGGTACTTTAGTAATAGGCGAAGCCTGTTATGCTACAAAAAAAAAATAGTAATAAGAACACGAGACTTGCATTTTAAGATGGGGAGAATTAAGAAATAATAAAAATAAGAAATAAGACAGATGCAGATTCAAACCAGAAATGTCTTCTATGAAAATATGTCTTACTTATTCCCTACTGTCATACCCACGAGAGAGAATTAAAAAACAAACACAGAAGCCACTCTCTCCATAATGTCAGTGCTGTCAATGACAAAAGGCAGACACAGACAAAATACTGTATATTTACAGATCTAAGGAATTCTCCAATTTTATACAGCAGATTATTTTTTCTTAGACCTAAGTTCTTCTTTGACATTACAGATCAAATAACAACTCTCTGTGCATAAAATAGCAAGCCTAAATCCACAGTGAAAACACATTTATTGATGAAACTGGAAAACATTGCTTGTTGGCTTATTTAAACAGCCATTCTGTCTTCATTCGGCAGCAGACTGGGAGTGAGCTGTCAAAGTGACAGCTGGTTCTGGTGATTATGCCTGTTATACAGGTAGTGGTTGAAGAGGTAATCCAGGGCATATGATGAATGCTCATGTTATTAAGATAAAAGATCTTTTTGGATGTACCTTGTACATCCAAGGTCCAAAAGTGGTTAGGCGGACCAGAACTGTAGGAGGTGTGCCTAAAAAAGCAGAGGGCAAAGGACTAGGAATAGTAGGCTCCCTTAATCTGATCATTTTCCAAATACTGACTTATCATTATGCCTTGTTCTGAACGGTTTCTCTTTGTGGGGGCAGCCATCTTGGTAGAGTATCAGGATTTTGCTTTTTCAAGTCAGAGCTGCTTCCTTAATGATTAGTAATATGATAACTAGTGCGGGAATATTCAAGAAGCAGCCAGAGAAGTGGAGGAACCCCATATCCACAAAATGAATGAAGCAGCTTCCTCTCTAGCAAGGAGAACCAAATCCCTTGAGACTAGTAGTCATAGGCACAGGGGTTGTTTTCCTTAAGGCAAATAGACTGTGCACTTTTCAAAGTGCAGTTGCTTCAGAGCTTAGTAAATGAGGGAAAGCTTCACTTTGCAAAGAATATCCAATCACATGCAGGGGAAATTTAAAAAAACAGCATTTTTGCTTGCACATGATTGGACAAAGGAAGTCAGCAGAGCTTTTGCTCATTTACTAAGCTCTGGAGCAACAACACTTGCAGAGTGCAACTGCACTTTGGAAAGTGCACAGTCTATTTGCCTTTAGTAAATCAACCTCACGGTGCCTTACATGATCTCACACTGCAGACACACAGCTATAAGGTTCAAGGAACAGGAGTGCTTTGACAGGAAATGAACTGCTATTTTTTAGAAAGAATTAAAGACAAATGCATATTTTTCACGATACTGCTTAGACACAATTACCATTTGTAAATGCTCCCTGCAAGATCACAAATCCCCACATTCTGGGTTCAGGTCCACTTTAAATTCCATATTTCTGGTATTATAGAGGAACTAAAGTGGAAAGAAATGATGAATCATTTCTTTATTTTCTTTACACAAGTACAAAGCATGAAAGGGGTCGCTTAACCAGAAGACATTTCTGGGAAAAGGTTGGAGTGATGGCAGAGCAAAAGATAATACTGTGTACAATAAATGTTATTTTTATTTCAATACGTTACTACTTTTTTATTAATAAAACCTTTTATGTACAGTTACTGCAGTAAAATTATGATGAGTAAAGTGTACCTGGCAGAAGGAGGGGGGGGGGGGTATGGGATGGTTTTTAACAAATAGATTCAATAATAAAAAAAAATATATTATATGTAACAACCAGGGTGAGGACAAGGGGTGGGCAAGCGGCTGCCCTGAGTGTGGTTGAGGATTTGGAGGGTTGTTCTAGGAGGGGTGATTTGGAGGGAAATCTGTGTTAAGGAGAGGAAATTGGGGGGGGGGGGGGTAATTTGTGATAGTGGGGATGGCTGGGGGATATGTGCTAGGAGGGGAAATTAGGGGCAGGGTTTGTGCTAGGAGAGGGGATTTGTAGGGATTTGTGCTGGGAAAGGGGGGATTTGGAAGAGGGAGAGGTTTTATGCTAGGAGGGGAGATTTGGGGAGAGAGTGTATTTGAGCTGGGAGGGGAGATTTGTACTGCAAGAGGGTTTATTTTTTTGCATAGGGAAAATTTGGACTTGCAAAGGGAATTTTTGCTGAGGTGGGTGTGAATATTAGTACTTGAATTTTATTTTTTTGTGAGGGGGAGGGGATTTTTGCTGACACACAATACCCATACATTTGGGAAGGGGGCGCTGTTTGGCATCTTCGCCCAACCTTAACAGCAACTGATGCTTAATAGATCTAGGTTATAGTCATTTGAAGACACACAAACAAATATACAATATGTAAACATTTTACAGTAATCTTAAATATGTATGGACTCTCACTGGATTAAAGCGGACCTTGCACTACAAAGCAAGGTCTGCTAATTTATCCAGGCTTGCCTCCAACATGCAGAAAAACTGCAGTGGAAGTGAAAACATATGTAGGATAATAAAATACCTCACCCCCTGCACTGTAGGGACAATATCATGGGAGCATTGAATATTTGACATTTCTTAAAAAGACATTCCTGTGCTAATCTTGTGAAATCCGAGCTAAATCAACATTCCCTAGCATCTCACAGGCAGAAACTGGTGGTAAAATAGGCACATTTACTAACATTTTTCTCTATAGTTTTTTTCTATTTTACTGTAGCATTTTGGCATGGGGGGGGGGCAAATAAATAAGCAGACCTTTCATTTTTAGTGCGAGGTTTGGTTTAAATGTGTTCATAAGGGGAACTGTACCAAACAGATAAACAGCGACACAATTCATGTCACACTTACAGACCACAAATGGGCAAAATATATCAGATAGGTGCATTGATTTGATCTCTAATGTCTACCATTTTCCCAAAGGGCTTTTTTTCAATAATTGCAATGTATTCCAATATGTCATCTTTAATTAAAGTAGTATTAAACCCAAAGCCAAAAATGTAATATAGTGCAGATTACTAATCCTTAGATGTGGTGGCTGCATTAGTTTCTTTATTTAGGCTTTTTTTCCTTCTATTTTCACCTGGTGATCTGGCCAGTAACACACCTCCTGTATTAGAGTGCCCCCACTCTGGATGAAGGTGCACAGGGAGCAGATTTGGATGGCAACATTGTCAGTGAGGGGGAAACAGAGTGTTAGATGTACAAGCAAATTTAGATGCTAACTAATTGAAGCCAATCTCCAGCTCAAACTGCAGTTACTTCACACAGTTCTTTTGGGGGGATAAAGTATTTACATGAATAAATAAAAGCTGTAAGCACCCTGGTCAGTGGTAAATGGTTTGTCTCAACACTCTAACTGCTACATTTGAGGGACAGCTTATTCTGTTGAAAAAGAACAAACTTTCTGGCTCGATCACAGGTGAAAATAAAAGGAAAGAAAGCACATAAAAGAAAAACGAATGCAGCCACTGCATCAAATGGTAAGCTGCAATATAATAAATGTACTAAAATGTTTGCTTTTGAGTTTAATTCTGCTTTAAAGAAGTGAGTGCATTTACTGACTACAGTAAATACAAAATATATAATTAAACAGTTTTAAACATTAACCAATGTTTTTTTGATTTAGTGTGATGTCACAATCTTGCCTTCTAAGTCAGTAGAAGTCATGTGAGGTCAGTCCCCCCATCCATACTCAATGGTGGTCTCCATATTTCTCTCAGTACAAGTAAATATTTATCAAAGAAAAGTGTTTTTATTATTTTGGGTTTCTTTTAATTTATGATCTTGCTGAACGCCTGGCAAACAGCTAAATATAGAGACAGAATATATATAATTGAGAGGTATACCAGCCAAAGCATTTGATTTTTGTCCTGTCCTGGGATTTATACACAACACTGTCCCGTCTGGCAGAGAAGGAAACCTGAGCTTTCTGTTAGAATTTTACTTTAAATTGCAGGTCTCCTATCCACCCTGTGACTGGACAATGAAAGTAGAAACAGAACACTGATAGGGTCCTTGCACACAGTACTGATGTATCTTCCTGGGAGAAAGTTCCTGTGAAAAATAACTCAGTGAGGCCCACTTACACGTGTATAAGTGTAAACACGTGTAACAATTCTGCTAACTCAACGAATGCCAAATATTCAAATAATATCATCTACTATTCAAGGGGGATGTGTAATTTATGCACGTACGCACATAAAATACTGACCACTAACACAGATGTTTGAATTCTTTATACTGATCTAAAGACAGTGCTAATTTACTGTTATTTATACATCTGTACATTTATACAAGACCTCCTACTCGCTAGCTCCCTTGTCTCCTCCTCCCATGCTCATCTCCAGGACTTCTCCAGGGCTTCCCCCATCCTCTGGAACTCCCTAACCCAATCCATCAGACTATCGCCAACTCTGCTCACTTTTAGGCGCACTCTGAAATCTCTTTAGGGAAGCCTACCCCGACCTCAGCTAATACTGAAAACCTCTACTCTTCCAACCACTCCATCCCCCACAGTTATTACCTCTTGTACCACTATCCCCTCCCTCCTAGAATGTAAGCTCCAAGGAGCAGGGCCCTCGAACCCCTCTTGTATTGAATTGTATTGTTACTGTACTGTCTCGTATACTGTCCCACCATAATGTAAAGCGCTGAGCAAACTGTTGGCGCTATATAAATCCTGTATAATAATAATAATCTGTGTGCACAGGCCACTGGGCTGCATTCAGATCAGTAAATAAAAAATGCCTGAAAAATGTGGCATTTTTGGTGCCTTTTTGCAAGAGCCCTTAAGATCACCTCTCTGTCATTATGCTTTCTCCTATTATTATGCCGCTTTAGGCTTTCAGCCGTGTTTTTGCAGTTTTCCCCAACCGCTTCTGCTTAAGCTGCAAAGGCAGCAAATGGGGGTGTATGTATGTAGGTACGGCAAAAATTATCCACTCATTCAACTGAATGGGGGTGCCCCGCAACCACTCCAAAACTGCATAGCAATGCATGTGGTCACAAAGCACTGGTGTGGGGTTATAAGGGGTTAAAACAGGCGGTGAGGAGACAATATAACTGCTCACTGCCTTTCCACTGCCTTCTAAGAAGCAATCAAATGCAGATCGCTCTTCAGAGGGCAAGGCAAGTGTACACAAGGCCTTATGAAAGTGAATTTTTACTTAGCTGAGTAAATGAGATAAAGCTGTGCTGGCTGACCTCAATCCTTCAATCATGTGCAAGTAAAATCCTAATGCACAAGTCTTATAGGTCTTTAGCAGTTTTAGATTCATTCCGCTAGCGTTGATTTGCGAGCACTAGATGGCAGTGTTGTCAAACTTAAGGAATCTTTTTTTTTTTTTTATCAACTTTGCCAAGTTAAGAACATTTGAATATAACCTGGTTTGTTCAAAGGAAACCTGTGCTGTGTGGAACATGTAGCATTCCATTGCTAAATGCTTGATTTTCTCTGGCTCCAGTACCTTCTGAGCTGCTGACCCAAAATAAGTAAGCAGCTAGTGAAGTCAGAACGCCTGATATGCATACGTTTCTAGGTCAGTCACTCAAGAAATAATGAAAGCTAATAGATCCTTTTGACAAAGATGGATCATTCATTCTTGTGGCATCTTGGCTCTGTATCTTATGCCTCAAAATTGTGAGAAGATACATTAGAATATTTCTTGCACCAACTCCAGGCAAATAAAAAAAACAACCCTTTCAGTATAGGCACAGCCTCACAGCAAGGGATAATTTGCTTGTTTATGTCTAAGAGAACAAGAAAAGGAGATATACCTCCGCACATCCCCACAGCTAAACCAGTCCCCATAGCTTCTGCACCCCCTGCGGTCTAGCAGTCTATAGTCCTGACGTCATCAAGACTAGAGCAGGGTCCATAGTCCTGCTCTGGACATGAGGACACCAACGTACAGCCCACTGCTTGCGGGGGAGCACCGCCTACTGTGGGAGTACAGGATCAGGTAAGGAAAAATGTTTCTTCTCTACCCTAGACAAAACAAGCTATTTTTTATCCGCCCAAAGTTGGGCTTTAATAAGCTTCTTTTATTTTACATGCATCAATTATTAATTTCAGATAATACAAGCTCAAAGGTGAAGCTTGAACACAAAACTAACAGGATATAGGGCTATTATAGCTATCTGTGTGGTCACTGAAATGTTTGGCTATTATGAATTACTGAACATCACTGATCTTATAATAGATATATAATATAAAGTCTTTGTAAAAGTACTGTTTTATAAGTAAAACAGATCATTTGTGACCTACCTGATACATGATGTTCAGCAGGGAGAACACTGACGGAGACATTGTCAGAGCTCTTCTGTCCAGAAGTGTCAGTCACAGTCAACTGTAGAGTATAAACTCCTTCTTGCAAGTGGGAGAGTTTCAGCGTCCCTGGTTGCACGACCTGATAATATAGCCATTAAAATATATCTATTAAATACAATATTTAGATATGTTCTAGGTATTGTTAAAGCACAACTTCAGTAAAACTGTTTTTTTTTTACATTGTGAGGAACAGTTAGAACCTTAAGGTGACTACACACTAAGTGAATTTCATGCTATGGGTGGCCCAACTGGCATCCTCCTGACCGACATCCTTTGACCTGCAATTTGAAGGAGCCAGTCAGAAACATGTCAGCTGTACAGTGGCTGCATCCAATTATCTGCAGCCACTGTTTGAGTATTTTGACAGCTGCTTGTGATGTACCAGAAAAAGAGATACATCCATCCACACAGTTTAGCCCTTGGGCCTGAACAAGAAGAATCCTACAGTGTATGGCACACTTTAGTCAGATTTGTGCTGCTGTCTGTGTCTGTCTGAAGAGATTTCCATTCACTTTCTGTTCTAAGGTCAGCTTTTCACAGGGACAAGAAAAAGACAGGAAATCTTTCCAATGACCTGCTGCCAGGAAGCGGAAATGGCAAGAAATCTCTCCAATACAGGCACTGCTAGTAATAAAACCTGACAAAAATTCTTATCCCTCCCTTCTCTATCCAAAATAAAAAGAAAAAAATAGGGGATGGACAATATTATTTGTAAACATTTTACATTCCACTATCCTCTTCAACTTGTATGCTCACCCTTATTAGAACTGTAAATGTTCTTTTTTGGAAATTACTGGAACAATTAGAATTGCAGACTAGGTAATTTAAGTCTGAAGCTTAGCCAAAAAACATTCATTTTTCTACAAATTTACTTACACTACCTACCTGTAATAAAGCATGTCCATTATTTCCAGGCTGCTGGATTCTTCACCGCAGGTCTGCCCTGTACTCTTCCTGCTGCTGATCTTCTGGCACTGTGTGTGTTAAAAGCTTCAGGTCTCCAGGCTCGGCTGCACTAAAGATGATTGTGCCCCTTCCTGCACTCTCCTCCATTGGAAAAGTTATTTCACTGATTACACTGCCTGTAAAATGATTTGGGGGGGGGGGGGGGTGGAGGGAGTCTGATCATTCACAGGATTCTCTCCTCCATTCACAGACCATGTTAAAGCCAGGGTACTTTTCTCAACAGAGCTGGAGAAAGGGGGGGGGGGGGGGGGGGCTTGTCTCCTTCAGATCATCTTTAGTGCAGCAGAGCCTGGAAACTCAAAGCTATTAACCCCCACAGCACCAGACGTTCAGCACCAGGAAGAAGACCGGCAGCCCTGTGGTGTATTTCTACAGGATCCAGCTTGTAACATCATGTGACATATTTCACTACAGCTGTGATGATGTGATATGACTAAAGTTGGTGAGAAAACATTTTTTTTTTCAGCTAAACTTTTGCTTTAAGATCTTAGTTAGTTCCATCACAGACAGTATCCTTTAGAATGAGGCAAAAATGGGTCTCACATTTGTCAGTATTAATTAGATGGGAGATGTGACCGTCAAATGAAAATCTAGTCCACCCACCCAAACACATAACCCAAAATCTTACAATCTGAAGCCCACCATCTAAGTCTTTAGAATGTAGCTATCCCAAACGTAGCCAATTGGTATAGCTATGTTTATGTGACTACAGCTGTTAAAAGTGCAGACATTAGATAATAACATTTGTTGTGTACGTGTGTAAATAAATATTTTTTGAAATCTTTAGTCTGCCTTGATGAATCCTTTCACATGAATTGTCACCTGCAATAAGAGTGAAGGTGGCAGTATATACAAAGATAAGGTAACAAAGCTGAATGATATTAGAATGGACTGCTAGGAAGAGTAACACACCACAAATATTGCCTGGTAGATATATAGAGGTTGATGTACTAAAACTGGATAGAAACCAATCAGCTTCTATGTTGTTTTTGTCAAAGCTTAATTGAACAAGCTGCAGTTAGGGTCCTTTCACATGGGCGTTCAGTTTTTTTCATCAGTTCAGTCACGTTTTTGCCAAGAAAATATAGATCAGTTCACATCAGTTTTTCATCAGTTCACATCCATTTTTCATCAGTTCACATCCGTTTTTTCACATTCTTTACCAATGCAAAAATGGACCGTATGTCCATGTACATCTGTTTTCGTCTGTTACATCCATTTTTTGTCTATTTTGTTTTTTTTACTGAAGAAAAATAAGGGTTTTCCGTTATCTGTCATCCGTTTACATCCACTAGTCCATAGAAATACATGGGTTTCCTTTTTTCATCTGTAAACGGACAGAAGAAAAACAGTCATACGGAACACCCGTGTGAAAGAGCCCTTAGAAGCTGATTGGCTCCCATACACAGCTGCACCAGATTTTGCACTCTCCAGTTTTAGTAAATCACCCCCATAGTATATGTAACCCTCCCCTGAAAATTTTACACTAAACCTAAAGTCAACATGTAAGGACCAATGCAGGGGAAAGAAATAGTTTAAATTCAGTGCTGGCCCTTGCACCTGCTTACTTTTGCTCCCCTGCCACTTCACTCCCATAGGACTGAGTAAAAAAAAAAACAAACAGTTATGAGCACACACAGGGCCAATTATTCTCCTCTATGACAGCACTGGTATTTGGAGACTGACCACCCAGACAAAAAGCAATGTCTCATGGGGGAAAGATGTCCTCAAATGTGTGCAATGCCAAAGCTCCCCCCTTACACAGGGCTTCTTCTTCTCATTCCCTCAGGCAAACAGGATAGCAGGACAGTGATGGGAAGGTAAGTATAGGCCTTTCTCAACCATTTTACCCCAAAGGAACCTTTAAAATACTTTTTGGGTCTTGGGAAACCCTTGATTAAAAACTATTAATTGGTGATCAGTGGGAAAATTCCCCTTACATTGGTGGTCAATGCGAAGAAAACCCTCCCTACAGTGCTAAACAGAATACCACTCCTAAGGATAGCTAAAAAGATTATTGTTGCCATGCAGCTGGCTTTGCAAAATGGCACTGACTCCAGAACTATGCCAGCGCCATCAAATGGGAATTCAATCAACCAAAGGTCATAGAACCCCTAGCAACCTACCGAGGAACCATTGTTGAGAATGGCTGGTATAGCCTGCCGAAAGTAATCCTGCCCCTTACAATATGTCAGAATCAGCAGCATCAGGATCCCAAAGTGTAGCTGAGGCAACGAGATTTTTGCTGCCATCGCTAGTGATGGGAATTGAGCAGCGTTTGGAACAACAACAGAGAAACATCTAGCTACAGAGGGAGCGATTCCATAGATACACAATACACAGGCAACATTTTTAGCTAGCAGCCGAATTACCTGTGTGCCATCAGCCTTAAATTCTATTTTTGTTTTTCCATGCATGGACAAAATACAGGTTTGCTTTAAGTCTTTTCCAGAGTTATTAATGGAAACCTATGCAACCCTGCCACCCTTAGAAACCATTAGAAATTATTTCAAATGGTTTCTTATGAAAATACTAAGTGCCTGGCTTTCATGTTGACCTATTAGCTTCAATACTTTCTGAATAACGTCTGAATAACTGACTACAACAAGTATGCAGATCAGGTGTTCTGACTTCACTATGAAGCTCCCCCCACAGCTGGTGAATATCTCCATATTTGTACCTGGTTAGCAACATAGAAAATATTGAAATTAAACAAATCCAGGCATCTAGAATTTCAGAGAGGGGTTCTAAACCTACTACAAATTTCTAATACCTACTACATATTTCCACTCATTACTACTCATAACCTACCTACATATATCTCTCATGGCAGTTATCCTTTAAACTCCCTACAGACACTTATATGAAACAAAAAGCATGATATATACTGAAAATTAGTTGTGTTGGTGTAGACTTCATTATTACTACCCATTTGGGTGAATAATTTTATAAGAAAAAGTCCTCTTAATGTTTGGATGGTGTCCATGGGTACAAAACAAGGAACCATTGTTGTGATTCTTAGAGTGATTTCACTGGGAGACATTAAAGCTTTGCCTTTTCATGGTTCAGCAACTCTAGTATGTGATCATCTGTTTCTCTGCTGTTAACCTGGGTAATTCAATACATGCAGACATGACTGGCTCACCAATTAGATATGTCCGTAAATTCTTCCCATGTTTGCTAAGCTAGCATGGATCATGTTTCTATAATAAGACCAGTGCTTTATTATACTATTAAATAAAAAAGACAAAGCCCTCTAAAAATCAAACATTACAAAAAGAAATAAATAAATATATCTTATATAAAAATGCTTTACTAATGCTTTATTAAGAATTCAGCACAGGTGCTAAACCAGTAAAAGTCAACATCTGATTTTAAGAGTGTGGCATTTTCCTGCACTGCAGCAAAGCATCATGATGCTTTGTGGAGACATGAATGAAGTGTCACTTTGTGAAACATCAAATAAAGTTAAAGTGATATTAAAGGTTTGGGTTTTTTTTTTTACATAACAAGAGTGTCATACTTACCTGCTCTGTGCAGTGGTTTTTCACACAGCAGCCCAGACCCTCTTCTTCTCGGTTCCCCAGCTGGTGTACCTGGCTCCTCCCCCTTGACCAATGCCCCCAATAGCAGGCTGCTTGCTATGGGGGCACTGTTGCAAACTCGCTCCTGAGCTCCTGCTCTATCGTCCATAAGACACATAGGGGTTTATTTACTAAAGCTGCGTCACTCAGAATCTCATGCACTTCTGCATGCAAACCAATCAGCTTACAGTTTTTATTGCTAAAGCTTAATTGAACAAGCTGAGGTTAGAAGTTGATTGGCTACCATGCACAGATGCACCAGATTCTGAGTGAACCAGCTTTAGTAAATCTCCCCCAAAGAGACGTGGCTCCCCCGCTCTCTCCTCATTGGCTCACTGGCTGTGATTGACAGCAGCGGGAGCCAATGGCTGCTGCTGCTGTCTCAGTCAATGAGGAGAGAGAGATCCGGGACAGCTGAGGCTCCCATGCACATTGCTGGATTGAGAAGAGGCTCAGGTGTATATTAGGGGGGCTGCACACAGAAGGTTTTTTAACTTCATGCATAGAATGTATGAAGGTAAATAACGTT